GTGGCAGGCTGCACCCTGGCTCACACCACGACCAGTTGAGGAAAGCGTAGAACTGCTCTGCCCCAGAGCAGCCCGAGGACCTGGGCACAAGGCCCTGATGCTCTCAGGGAGGGAGAAGCCCATGGATCACATAATCCATGTCTCCATCCCAGCTCCAGAGCATACAGCAGTAGCTGCCAGCAGACCCTGAAGAGCCCCCATGGTGCAAGGCAGGTTCAGCTGCACGAGCAGCAGCAGAGAGTGGCAGGGGACAGGGCCCCCCACGCTCACCATAGGCAGCGCCCAGCAGCCAGCTGTGTGGGGTGTACACATCACAGGCAGCCACGTTGTTCCTCTGCGCTGGCCAGTCTATGCTGGCATAGTCCTGCACGTACAGCTCCTGGCACAAGACAACACAGAGCATCAGCCCGGAAAGCTGGGAGCAAGCGCCCAGGAGCAGTTACTCTGCTGTCTGACAGAGTGCTCATGCAGGGATAAGAGATGCCGCTTTGGAAGCCAGAGGCTGGCGCACAAGGACATGGCCAAGCACAGCAGGCAGTCATGGAGCCATGTATCCTTGTCCAGGAGGATCAGCTCCTTCCTTACCTGCCGCAGGCTCCGTATGAGCTCATCCTCTTCTGCTGACAAACGCTTGGCGTAACAGTAGCTCATGGGAAGGTAAACCTGGCGGCAGTGACACCAGAGCCGGGAAGGATGGGCTGGGAACCACGTGGGAAGCAGCCTGATTGCAACAGAGAAGGTTGTGAGGAACAAGGAGGGCCTAGGGCAACACAGAGAGATGGTGTGTGGAATTCCCAGAGCAGGGCACACCTTTTCCTGTCCCCTGCACCAGGGGATATAAACGCAGCCTGACACTGCAACAGGGGTGCTCCCTCCCCACCAGGGCCAGCAGACACCGCTCTTGGCCCAGAAGACAGAGGGCAAGGAGGACCTTGAGCTCAGAGAATAGGGAGGGGAGAAGTCAGTTCAGTCATGTGGGACTTTGAAAGCAGAGGCCCAGACTGACAGTTACTGGCATTTGATGACAAAGCACCAGCAGCCCTTGGTCCTGTGCAGCCCCTGATTTCCCCCAGAGATAATGTGACACCCTTTCCCTCTCTGACACCCAGCAGCCCTCTGAGTAATCAGAGAGGGTACAAGTGAGGGTTAGGGCTGGTAGCCTTACATGTGACTGTCCCCTCTGCTAAAGGCCAAGTTCTGGCTGGCCAGAAGATAATGGTGACAGGTAGGGAGCACACAGATGTATCAGGGATCCTGTGGGTAATGCTAACTGGGCTGAGCTGTGGCACTTCCCTTGGGTGCAGTGTTCAGTGCTATGCACCCACTGGCTGGCCTGCTGCTGGCTCCCAGCTGACAAGCAGCCTGACCACCTCTAGTTCCAGACCATAGCTGGAGTTATCCAAGCAAACATCAGTGCCTGAGACAGTTCTAGGTTGAGGCTGACAGCAGGACTGACAACATCTCCTCCCTCCACAATAAGGGGGGCACATACCACATCTCTGGGAGAAGCGTGTTCATTCCCTCCCAGCTGTAAACGTTCAAGACAGCCAGCCAGAACTTGCCCCAGGAAGGGATTCCCACAGCACCTCCTGCAGAGAACAGTATCAGCTTACAGGGTTAACGCAGCCATGCCAGCTCCCTTCTTTTTTCCCCATCACAGGGCCCACTTCTCCCCATATTTGGGAACACACTACTCAGGCTGAGACACACGTCCCAAAACAGGGCAAGCAGGCAATGGTACAAAAACATAACACAGCTTCCCACCGCTAATTGAAAACACAGGTGCCACCAAGGGCAAGCAAGAGCAACAGTACTTCCACTACCTGGCAGCCCCCCATGTTCTATGCTGCCCTTCATGTTCCATGTAGCCCTCAGGTCCAGCCAGACCTCTCTGACCAGTGTCCCAGCCCCATGGCTGACCTTTGCTGTGCAGGTTGACACGGGCCCGCATGATGTCAGGGTCATCCGGTCCGAGCCCCAGGATCCTCAGTGCTACGTAGTTGAGTGCTGTGCCAAACACCGTTGATTTGTCTTCCACATGCCTGTCAGGCACATACGCAGAGACACCACGGCCATTAGCCAGCTATTGGCATTAGCCAGACATAACCCACTGAGCAGGGCTGTTTTTGTCAGGGTGAAGTGCAATGCCGGGGGTGACTGTGAAAATTAATCCAGGAAGAAACATTGCTCTGCACTACTCAGTAGCATATGATGCTTTGGCATAGAGTGACACAGAGGAGATATGGCCAGACTTGATGCTCTGGCCATCTCTGTGACAGAGTATCTGAAGTGCTGCACAACCAAGTCCAAACACCCAAAGCTATCACAGGTGCCGAGCCCCCCTCCCTGAGCCTGGGCACATCTGACAGCAGCTCCAAGTGCTGGGCCTTGGAGAGGCCATCCCTCAAAGAAGCATCTTTGCTACTCACAAACCCCAGCCTCCGTCTGGGAGCTGCACAGAGCGCAGGTAACGTATCATCTCCTTCCGGAACCCCTCCGGCAGCTGGATTTTGGCCGTGTGGCAGGTGATGAGGAGACCTGGAGGACCAGACGGGCCGGCACTGTACAGAGCCGAACTGTACACGCCCACCCCCGGGCAGGTGCCCCAGGCCTACCTGGCAGCAGGAACAGCGGTCCGCCGTAGTCGCCCGCCCAGTGCCCATCCTCGGCCTGCAGGGCCGCGTAGAACCGCATCCCCCTGCGGGCCGCCTCCCGGGCCGAGTCGGCCGCCGGCAGCGCCCGCAGCGTCGCGCCCTGCGGGGAGACAGCGGCACCTCAGCGGGGCGTCCCGGGAGCGGCCCCGCCGCCCCGGCCCGGGCCCCTCGCACCGTGTCCAGCCCGAGGCTGTGCTGCTCCAGCGCCGTCTGCGCCCGCGGCTCTCCGACATCGCCATCGCCATCGCCCAGGTAGCGCCAGCGCTGCCGCCCACCCTCGCAGCGCAGCCGCCAGGCCGGCAGCTCCGTGGCCGCCGCCGAGCGCCGAGGGCCGCCCCGCCGCCGAATCGCCCTGGGGGACACGGGCACCCTGAGCCGCGGCCGCCACCGCGCTCCGCCCCATGGGACAGCGCTGCCCGCCGCCACCGTAGCACCCAATCCCGATCCCACCGCCGGGACCCACCCGCTGCCCGCTGCCATCGCCGCTCCCGCTCCCGGTCCCGATCCCGACACCGAACCCGAACCCGAACCCGATCCCGCCACCGGGGCCGCGCCAGAGCCACCTGGTCCCACATCGCCTCACGGGCGGCAGCCAATGGGGGCGCGAGGCCGGGCGGAAGCCCCGCCCCCGGCCGTCCCCTCTCGGCTCCTCCCGCCCCGCCCGCCGTTCCCGGCCGAGAGCGGGGCGTGGAATCCCGGGTCCTGAACGTCTGACCAGGCCACACGGACCGCGCTGCTTGCCCAAGGCTGCACACCCCGACAGCCCTCCCGTCCCTTTGGAGGACAGCGCCAACCCCCAGAGCGACTCTGGACCCCCAAAGCCCAGCCAGTGGTTTCCATCATTAATGGCAATAACAAACCTGGGTACCCAGCTCATGTTTTCAGCCCTTCAAAGCCCCTCGGCTCAGGAAGGCTCCGAAAAGGAGCTACAAACGCCATCAGGCACACAGGGGGGTAAATCCCAGAGATGCTGTACTTACTGTGTTGAAAGGGCTGGGAATTTGTGCATATGTGAGGGTGCGAATTTATCATGGACTTTGTTAAACGGAGTGATAAGATTTCTTTCTACTGCTTTTCAGAGTGACTTGGCTTCCCTCATGCCACAGAAGTGACACCAGATCAAGCTCAGCTGGTGGAAAACCACCTCCATGTCCATGCGCTACCTGGCACAGCCACTCCTAGGGACCTCAGGGGGCCCAGGGATGAAAGAGCTACTCCCAAATGTCATGTCCATCAGCATCCGAGGACAGAAACATGCCTGTCTCTTACTACTTATAATACTTAATACTTATAGTATATAATGCACACTACAAGTCGAATTTAAATTGCTCCTCTGCTAGCAAATAGCTCTTCACTCTTGTCCAGCATAACCTCAAGGATTATTTGGAAAGGATGCAGTAGTTTTATTTGTGAATTAAAGAATTAATTTGGTATTTATTTTATAGATTAGGCTTATTTTTGGTTTAAGACAAAAAGAATTGTCGTAATGAATCTGCTGAGATGAGCTTTATGTAAGTATCTCCACTTCCTTGCAGATGCCAAAATCTCTAGATATTTATGGTAATGTTTGTCTAAAGGCCATGGTGGAAGATGAACCACTTGGATTTATTTTTCTGTCTTTATACAATCTACCTGCCTCCAAAATTTTTAATAATTGCCAAACTGCTGTTATCTCAGAATTATTTTTATACAAGTTTTTCTATGTCTGGCCCTCAGCTGAACTCAGCCAGGAACAAGCTCACCTCTGGCTGCTGGGTTTGTAGCTTCAGACATGAACTCAGTGCCCATGGACAGAGCTGGGGAACCTGCTCCCTGCAACGCTGCTCTCTGTGCTGGCACTGTGAGCGCTGCAGAGGCAGAAGCAGCTTCTTCACCCTCCCACCCAAATTCCACTTCTTTCATTGCTTTTTTCTCCCAGTTCAATGACTGCTGGCCTTTGTCTCGTAGTCTGGCAGAGCCTGGCGCCACACACACCAGAGAGACAAAGAAATAGGCTGGCTTGTCTCTCTGAGCCTGGTATGAAGAGCCCACATTGTGTTTTACCACAGAGAGGGAGACAGGCAGAGGGCTGAAGTGTTTTGCTCAGCCTTGGGCACTGTAAAACCCCCTTGTTTCTTTAAACATGTCAGCCCAAAGTGCTGGCCAGGAAGCCCTGACTCTGAGGAAAGGAACCCCAAGGTCACACTCTCCTGATCAAAGATCAAGACATGAATTTTAAAATAACAGAAGCGGCTCTTTGGGCAGCACTGAAAGCACAGCCAGCTCACAGCCCCCCACCCATGCCCAGACCTCCTGGACTGTCACTGGCTGGGTCAGGGATGACCCAGGAGACCAGGATATGAGCCTGGACAAGGAACAGGGAAGTCCCTTGGAGCTGCTCATTAGCAGAATCAGGAAAGGGGCAAGGTTTTTGGTGTTCCCACCTGATCCTTCTGCTCCTTCCCGCTTATCAGCAGATCATTCCAGACCACACCTGTAAAATAGAGAAGTCAGAATGATTTGGGGGTGAAATGGACAGTAAGAATCATTGGGAAAGGGTATTTCAAGACTGTTTGTGTTTTGATCTGTCAAATGCTAATTTTTCTGTTCCATTTTAATGAAAGGTCACTTTCCAGAATGACATCAGAAAATGGTTTAAAGAAGCTGAGCTAGGACCTCATCTCTGACTAGAAATTATGTGCTTTAATGCATTTCTTGGCTAAGGACTGAGCTAACAGATCTACCAGATCAAATTGCCATCAGCAGAGAAAAACACTGTTTCTTTCCTGCTGACAGAGAGCCCCATTTATAGCCAGCTCTTACATGAATGAAAATATCCATGGAAAAAAAATCAAATAGTGCAAGACTGTTGACAAACTACCTCTGCACTAGGAACACCACTGCCTAAAAGCATCCCTGCTGTTCCTGACAGTCCAATCAGAACACAGATAACTGCTGTAGTTTGCAATGTCATAAATGCAAGAATTTCAGGGGCCAGATAAATATTTAGAGTCAACATACTCAGACTTAATGCTAGGGAAATTATTTTTTCCCAAACCAGTGTTTGGACCTGTTACAAAAGCTTCCATGAGCTGATGTAAGGAAATGATCAATGTAGATGGGTTTCTTTTACACCAGTACATGAAAAAGTTAAGTAACATGGTAGGTGGTGTCTCAGTAGATTTGAGGAATGAAGGAACTGCCAGGAAATGTGTCTGTCCAGCAACCTGGTCTTGCCTCTTGAAAGGGACTTTTTTTTTTTTTTAAGAGGTCCAGACCTTCATCCCACCCCCCAAGCCCCCAAGGCTCTTACCCTTTCCACGTTTCTCTGCAGGAGCTGAGTGTGGCAACAAACTGGGCTCTTCATCATGGGCACTGCTCACCGTCTTCTTAGTTAGCAGGAGTACCGCGTTCTGAGTCACACTGAGCCTGAAATCCAACAAAGGCCTCCGACATAAAGCAGTTACTGATCGCGTGCTGAGCTGAAAAAGGTGTAAATGGCGACATGCCTCAACAGTAACATCAGACAGCTTCAACTTCGGCTCATACCATCTTATTCCTGGGAAACAGTGTGACTTCGCAATGAAACACAGTGAAACTTGCTTTCTTCAGCCTGTTCTCTGTGTTTATTAACCATTTGCTTGTCCTGTGCCACCGGGAACAGTCTAGGTGAAAGATGCTGCTTGCTGCTCTTGCTGTTTGTCACCTGCTGCTCTTGCTGTTAGTCACTTACTGCCCTCCACATCCTCGTTCCCTGCTGGCCTGCCTGCAATGTCCCCACACAGTGTCACCTCCATCGGGTCTGTGCACAAGCCTGAAAGGGGGATCTCTGGTGGAAAGGAAACTTCCAGCTCTTGGGTTTAGACAAAAGTGCATATAATACCGGTTAACGGTGGCTGCTGGGACTGGCAGGGGGCCTGGGAGCCCACCGCGTGGCTGCGACACGGGCAGCAGGTACATGCAGCCAGGAGATTCCTGCCCCCCCAAGTCACAAGGGTGGTGTCACAGTCACTGGCCGAGTGACAGCCGTGTGAGAACCCACGGCCCCTCCACGCAGCTTTTCGCCGGGGTAAGGCAGGCACACCCCGGACCCGGCACTCTTTCCCCAGCAGGGATTCGGGAGGAGCGGCCGCTGCCGCCAGCCCTGTCCATCAAGCACTGAGAGCCCGATACAATCGTGATTGCCCCGCAAAGGCACGGGGAGGGGGCAGAGAAGACGCGGTCAGGCGAGTCTCAGGGGTGCACAGTGAAGGGACCAAGGGCCACAGCGGCTCTCACGTGGGCGGCCGTGGGCTGGCGGCGGGTCAGCGCCACTGCGGGCAGCGCTGCGGGCCCGGAGCCCGGCCCGGACACCCCCGCCTTCGCCTGCCATTGGCTCCAGGGGCTCCCCGCCTCCGGCATAAGAAGGCAGCGAGTCCCTGGGGTGCCCATTGCTCAGCCACAGCCCCGCCGGCAGCAGGGAGGTGAGAGGGGCCGGGGGATGCCGGGCGGGGGCAGCGCCGGGGCACCGAGCGCTGCGGAGCCGGTGGGGAGCCGAAACCCTCCTCAGCCTTGCGGACGGGGAAGGAGGCAGGTCGTGAGCATGCAAAGGGCTCTTAGAATGCACGCATGAATTGCTTCGGGAATATTTCCTACCTGATCGGAAACAGTCTTTCTGTTTGGACACTGACTGCTGCATGGGGGAGGAAGTCAGCTGGAGAATAAGGCGGTGGGATGAGATTTAGTGCCTTGTGGTGGAGAAACAGGAGCCAGGTCACAGGGCAGGAGACGCTTTACCTGTGGGGTATGAACGAACAGAGTGCCGTTAGGTTTTTTTCCCAGCTTTTGGGAAGGTGGTTTTGCATCTCTCCCTTTTTGGTTTGTCTGTCTGTTTGTAAAATCTGCAGGAAACGCTGCAATTCCAATGATTATCAGTCCCAGGAGGGTCCCCAGATCAAGTGAGGGAGGAGAGAGGTTAGAGAGGTGCTTATTTCGTCCTACTGGCACTCATCAAAACTGGATCCTGCCTGGTTCCCCTGACTGCTCGGCTGGAGACAGGCATGCAGGCAAAGGCATAGGCGAGGCTGCCTGTGACAGAGTGGACAGCAAAACTGTTCTGAAGCTCTGTGAGCAAAATGAACCCTTACCTGCCTCTCTCCTCGTGTTGTGGCTCTGCATTTCTCGAGAGCCCTTGAAAGCAGAGTCACAGTCTCTCATAAGCTTTTCCCCTGAAGCCAGAGCTTCTGTCAGTCCTTCCCAGCAGATGCTTTAAGCACGGGGTCCGATTTTGCTGATCAAGGTGGCTGTGCTTCCAAAGCAAAAGGGGTTGCTGGAGCTTGCCCAGGTTAATGTCCTGATCGTCCCCTCTGACCTCAGGGCCACGCCTTTACCATGTCTGAGCTGGAGAAGGGCATGATCGCCATCATCGATGCCTTCCACCAGTACTCCGGCAAGGAGGGAGACAAGCACAAGCTGAAGAAATCAGAACTGAAGGAGCTCATTAACAATGAGCTGACCCATTTCCTCAGTGTAAGTATTGTCCTCCTCACAGCTCGCCTGGCTGGGCTCAGGTGGCATTAAGCAGCTTCTGCACTCCACTAACTCTGTCTCCCATGGGAAGCAAGAGCAGGGGAAGTGGTTTATCCACACATCAGGGTGCTAAATCATTTGCTCCAGCTCTGCAGAGCAGCAGGACAAGTGCAACAGCCTGCGTGCAGGCTGGGGTGTGGGTTGGATACTAGGGAAATTTCCTTCCCTGAGATGGGGAGACAGCCTCACCCCAAGGGGCTCAAGAGGTCTCTTCCCAGCAGCACAGCTGTGGCTGCAATTCCCAGAGGCACAGGGCAGTGCCCCAACACAGACTGGAAACGATGTGTCTGAACAGAGATTCAGCCATGAGAGCACCAGAGAAGGGGGGACATGTTACTGTCTGGGTCCCACTCTGGTCCTCCCCAGCTTTGGCTGCCTATTTCTATCCCTTCAGGAAATCAAAGACCAGGAGACTGTGGACAAAGTCATGGAGGCACTGGACAGTGATGGGGACGCTGAGTGCGACTTCCAGGAGTTTGTAGCCTTCATTGCCATGGTCACTGCCGCTTGCCACGAGTTCTTTGAGCACGAGTGAGCTGGTGGAAAGCAGGCGAGCCCCTTCTGCTCATGCCAGAGAGATGCAAGGCAGCATCACTCCTCTGGGAAAAGGAGTGGGTGTGACTAAAGGCTCCTTAGAGTTCAGCTTGTGCTAGACTTCAGCAGCTTAATAAGTTCTGCAGCTTTGTGAAACAAAGAAAAACCTGCACAGCTCAGGAAAGCCTATCGGCCAGCGCCCACCGCGCTGGAGGCAGCGTGTGAGTGCCTTGTCTCAAGCTCCTTCCCTGCTGTTGTAAGCCAGGAACATGCCCAGGGCTGGAAGCAGGCAGACCCTATGATCCAAGCTTGCTTGCAAAGGAATAAGGGAAATTTAAGGGTTGAAGGATGAGGTGATGCAGAGGGGCTGTTTATGGAAGCCTGTTTCTGAGCCCACTGGCCTGAACAGGAAGGCTCCCAGTGATTCCTGTGGGCTCTGTGCATGCCATTAACCCAGGAAACCCAGCTCCTGGCCCTTCACAGGGGCTCAGTAGAGCCCACCCATTTCTTGGCAAATTGAGACACCCTTGGCTTGCAAGGCAAAGCATAACCGTCTAAAATCATAACCATCTAACAGCCCAGGCTTTCCTCTTGTTGATCAATCCTCCCTGCTTTTGGCAGCCTGCAGAACTGGAAGCAACAACGTATGAGGCTTCTGGGCTGGGGTCAGCTCCTGGGCCTGGGATGTGCCTTGGTAAGGTGTCCAGCCTCAGTCAGAAGGGATGGGGGGATTGGCCCAGTGTGACCACAGACCAGGTACAGCCTCCTGAGTGTGTGGAAGTGGCAAAAATAAAATGTGGTTTCAGTCTCTGGTGGAAAACATGTCCTTTTGTGACCTGCACCGTCAGAGCGGGAGGCTGGAGGATGCAGCCTGAAGCACTGCTATAGCTCATGGCCCTGGGTTTCTTGTTGGGCATTGACCCTTCACCTCCTCCCTGGTGTCACTATGGCTGGCCAAACAGCTCAAGGTTGTCAGCACCACCATGTTCCATCTCCCTGTCCACACTGGCAGGTGCATCTGTGAGGACAAAGGAGCACAAGGCACCTCTGCAGGAGTCATCCAGGGGCTTGCAGTTGTGAACCCTTACAAAGCCTAAACTAAACCTAGGGCAACCTTCCCAAAGTCTATGCTTCTGTCTTTTTCAGTCTGCACCTGCTGTCCAGCTCATCAACACCTGTGAGTTGGACATTCCTAGCCAGCAACATCAATAGTGACAGATTCGTGACAAAGATGCTCACAGTTGTCATTGTTTTTACCTCATTCCCCATTTTATAACGATTTCATGCACAAAATGACATGTCTTTGGACAGGAACCATCTTGCTGCTCTCACCTGTCTCCTCCAAGCTCTGCAAGGGGACACTCAGGTAGAGTCAGGCATACAAGAGACAGCATCTTATACTTCACCTGGCACAAAAAGCCATTTTGCCATCCCAGGGTAGCGCTCATTTGTTGAGACAGTTCCACTGTTTTCAGCACTAGTACAGAGCTGAGGCACTGTGTGACAAATGGGGGCACACAGTGTCCTCAAGATTAGGAAGGGTAGACAGGACTCATGACCCTCTCTGGAGCCTGAACCCGAGGGTGCGGTGCTTCCATACAAGGGTCTCCAAATCTCACCTGCTTTCTGTCCCCCTGCACCAGCAGCGCTCACACGATGAGGAATCCTTCCCCAAGACCAGGCCTGTTCAGCAGCTCTGCACAGCATTGCAGCAGCAGCTAGCTGTAACATGCAGCTTGAATGCTGGCATAGCCAGTGCAACACGAGAGCAGCAGCAAGGAGTGACACGGCAGGACTGCACCCATGTTTCTGGCAGTAAGGCTGATCCTTACTCAGCCGCACCGCTGCTGGGAATTCAGAGAGGCTTCACCCAGCACAGGAGAAGGTGGAGCTGGTGCCTCTTGTCAGAGAGGAAGAGTATGTGTCCTCCTTTGAGGTGAGCACCCTGACTGCAAACGCTGCAGTGTGCAGTGCTCAGGCTACTGAGCCCCTGGCACGCCTCCCAGGCCGGCAAAATTGAAATTCCTGAAACAGACAGCATGGTCACAGGCCTCACCATCACCCAGCCTGCACTGCAGCTTACACTCACAGCTCTGCTCCCCTTGTGTTCTTTGTCCCTCTGCCACAGAGGGTGGCTCAGCTCAGACCGTGGACTGTGGGGACAGCTGTACACTGGCACGGTGGGGGAGGCCAGCAAAGCAGTTTGGGTAACGATGGCCCTCTGCCAACAACTCTGCTGATCCCTCAGGCCTGCTGTCCCCTCACACACACAGGACAGCCACAGCCAGCCACCTCCAGCACCTCTGCTCACAGCCTGGGCCCCCCCCCGGACCGCGCAAGCCCTGTGCCCAGCCTACAAAACCCCATGCAAACAAGAGGGCTGTGTACAATACCCCAGGTGTGTACAAGACCTCACAGGCACTGATTACATTGATCTGATGTTGCATCAGTCAGGAGAGCTCATAAAATCCACGTTTCCATCATTAGTGACAGCCTGTAGAAAGGCAGGTTTGGTGACAGTGAGCTCTGAGTTCTGTGCTGTGGGACCCTCAGGTTCCCCCAAGGATCAAACAGCAGCTTCCTACCAGCAGAGCCTACCTGACGTAGGACACATTTGTCAGTTATGCTTTTGACTCTATAAAGAGGAAGCCAATGAATTTTCCACCAGGAAGGACACCAACGGAAGGTTTCATATATTACAGACTTCTGTTCAAGATAAGACCTACTTTCTAAAAGTGAAACAAAGAGAAGAAAGTACAGTAACAGGAAGGGCTTGAGATGCTTAAAAGACTCAAATTCACTTCTGAAGCTAGAAAATTGACAGAAGGGCAGATTTTGTACATCCATGCT